CACAGCAATTAAAATTTGCACTTTTGGACAACTATATTGGATGTCTCCAGTTATTTTTTTTTTAAGTGCTCTTGGGGAAAAAAAATCGGAAAATCGAATCGAAACTTGAATTTTTTCTTTTAAAAATCGGCGAGTTTTTTTTTAGGCAAATGCCCAGCCCTAACTTACAAACACATTTAGCACTTTACAACACATTCAACACCTTACACACATTTAGCACTTTACAACACATTTGCACTTTACAACAATTCCGCACTTTACAAACACATTCAGCACTTTACAACAACATTAGCACTTTACAACACATTCAGCACTTTTACAACACATTCAGCACTTTACAAACATTTAGCACTTTACAACAAAATCAACACCTTACAACAAAATTCAACACCTTACAAAACCTTCTTACTTCCTCTTTTCCCCTTCTTCCTCTTCTTCCATTTCTTCCTCTCTTCCCCTCTTCCCCTTCTTCACCTTCTTCCCTCTTCTTTCTCTTTTCTTCTTCTTCCCCTTCTTTCTCTTCTCTCTTTTCCATCCTCCTCCGTTCTTTCTTTCTCTTCCTTTCTCTTCTTTTCTCTTCTTTCTCTTCTCCTCTTCTTCCTCTTCTTCCTCTTCTTCCCTTCTTCCTCTTCTTCCTCTTCTTCCCCTTTTTCCTCTTCTTCTTCCCCTTCTCCCTTTCTTTTCTTCCCTCCTCCTCTTCCTTCTTCTTTCACTTTTCTTCCCTTTTCTTTCTTCTTCCTTCTTCTTCCCCTTTCCTCTTCCTTCTTCATCTAACCCTATCAACATCTATGCAGCCACTCACAATGGCTTCAGCATTGTACCATTTCTAGTTGGAGTGGCTGCATAGATATGCAGCCACTATTGCTTCCCTACGTGTTTATTGAGTGGCTGCATAGACTATGCAGCCACTATTAGCTCTCCCTAATGTTTATTCTTTCTCTCACTTCCGAGATGTTGGCACTTTTCAACTCTTCAACGCTTCACCAAATTCAACAAAATTATACATCGTTACGAACGGCGTCACCGTCTTCATTATTGCTATTACTTTTCACATTCACCTTTAGCACTTTTTCAGATATTAACAAATGTTCAGCACTTTTTCCCATAGACTTACATTGGACCCGTACCACCAGTATTACTCCCATACAACACATTACCACACTACCAATACATACCACACGATAGAATACAATACATCATCTTACAAACTAACAGCACCTCTACAACACATTCGCACTTTACAACACATTTCAACACCTTACAACACTTACTGCACCTTACAACACATTTAGCACTTTCAACAAATTCAACTCATTTAGCATTTTACAACACATCAAACACCTTAAACAACTTCTATAACCTTACAACACATTTTAGCATTTACAACACATTTAGCACCCTTTACAACAATTTACACCTTAAACACATTTAGCACTTTACAACAAATTCAACACCTTTCAACACATTTAGGCACTTTACAACGTATTTAGCACTTTAACAAACACATTCAGTCCCTTTACACAACACATTCTTCATACTTCTTCCTATTCTTTCCCTTCTTCCCTTCTTCCTCTTCTCCTCATCATCTGTTCTTCCCTTCTTCATCTTCTTCCCCTTCTTCCTATTCTTCCTCTTCTTCCCTTCTTCCTCATCTTCATGTACATTCCCCTTCTTCTCTTCTTCCCTTCTACTCTTCTTCCTCTTCTTCCCTTATTCCTCTTCTTACTGTTCTTCCTCTTCTTTCCCTTTTCCTCTTTTCCTTCTTCCTCTTCTTCCCCTTCTTCCTTTCTTCTCTTCTTCCCCTTTTTCCTTTCTTGCTCTTCTTCCTCTTCTTCCCTTTTTTCCTTTCATCCCCTTCTTCCCTCTTTTCTTCTTTCTTCCTCTTCTTCCCCTTTTCCTCTTTTCTTTACCTTCTTCTCTTCTTCTCCTTCTTCCCTTCTTCATTCTTCTTACTCCTCTTCCTTCTTCGTCTTTCCTCTTCTTACCTTTTCTTTTCTTCTTCCTGTTCTTCCAACTTCATCCCTAACCCTTCCAACATCTATGCAGCCACTCACAATGGCTTCAGACATTGTACCTTTTCTAGTTCTTCTTCCACTTCCGCCAGATTTTGGCACTTTCAACTCTTCAACGCTTTTCACCAAATACAACAAATTTATAAATCGTTCCGACCGGCTTCACGTTCTCATTTATTGCGATTAATTTTCACACTTCCACCTTTTAGCACTTTTTCAGATATTACAAAACGTTCAAGACTTTTCCCATAGACTTACATTGGACCAGTACAACAGATTACTCCCCATACAAACACATTACCACTACAATTCATCACCACAGATACAATACATTACACATCTTACAACACTTAAGCACCTTACAAACATTTAGCACTTTACAACAAATTCAACACCGTATACACACATTAGCCACTTTACAACATATTCAAACTCCCTTACAAACACATTTAGCACTTTACAACAATAATTATCACCTTTAAAAACACATTCAGCACCTTACAACAAATTCAACACGTTACATAGGGTGGGCACAATAAAATCGATTTTAATCGATTTATCGGATTTTGTAGCTTAAATGGATTTTTATTTGCAAACTCGAGTTTTTTTTTTTCACCCAAATTTTTTTTCTGAGTTTTTGGTTTCGTCCTTGTTGGGTTACCGTAGAGCGTTATGAGCCAGCCCCTCCGCCGCGTAAAACAGTCAAACATGAATGGCAGCGTGTAGTAGAGCAGGGGTTCCCAAAGTCTTTAGCCTCGCGGGGACCCCCCCCCCATCATAAATGCCCTGCCTAACCCTCCTCTGCAGATGTGGAGCGCATTTCTTGCGGCTCGCACGCACTGTTCTTCCTTACCGCGGTAAAGTGGGCCGGCTTTCGGAGTCAGCGTAAAGAGGTCCGCACAATTATAAGCGGGCGGCCGCTTTTCTGCTGTTACTTTATGCGGTTAATCCCCGCGGCTTCTCTTTCCTACAGTTACTGTCAGTAAAGGGCATAGGACCGGCCACACGCTTTTTTAATGTGCGGACTCTTTACCTCTGACTCCGAAAAAGCCGGGCCTCTTTAACGCGCTGTTCTACCGCACGTGTCCTTTCTCCCTCCTTTGCCCTCTCTCCCTCTCTTCGCACCATTCAGCGCTGACCCCTGATACAGTGACTGTTCTCTTCCCTGCCTCTGCCTCTCCCTCCTCTGCCCTCTCTCCCTCCGCTGCCCTCTCTCCCTCCGCTGCCCTCTCTCCCTCCCGCTGCCTCTCTCCCTCCGCTGCCCTCTCTCCCTATCCCCCGCTGCGCTCTCTCCCTCCGCTTGCCTCTCTCCCTCCTCTGCCTCCTCTCCCTCCGCCTGCCCTCTCTCCCCTCCTCTGCCCTCTCTCCCTCCCCGCCCGCTGCCCTCTCTCCCTCCTCTGCCCTCCTCTCCCTGTCCGTGCCCTCTCTCCTCCCGCTGCCCTCTCTCCCTACCCCGCTGCCCTCTCTCCCTCCGCTGGCCGCTTATTTCTCCGCTGCCTCTTCCTCTCTCTGCACTCTCTCCCTCCTCTGCCCTCTCTCCCTCTCTTCGCACCATCAGCATGACCCTGATAACAAGTTGACTTTTCTCCCTCCGGTGGATTTTGTGGTGGATATTAAACACGTTTCATTTAAAGCAGGTATTTATTTATTTGTAGCCTCCAACACCTTTTGTTTTGCAAACAACCAGTAGGACACGCTTTGTCGCTGCGCATGATGTGTGCTGTGTTACGTGATGATTTTGATTGACGTTGCAATGACTGGGACCAAAATTACTTAAACGTTATTAACAAATATATTATAGTCTCAAACTCAATTTAACAAGTAGGTCCTTTTGAATCAAATCAAATGCTAAATATTTATGTAAGGGCTTTATATTTGCTCAAAAAAAAAAAAAAATCTTTTTTTTTTGTCTTGTGTTGAAATCTTCATGCGGGGACCCCCCCAGGGGGTCCCGCGACCCCCCGGGGGGGTTTTATAACAGGGGGGGGTTGTTAAAAGTATTTGATGCGAGGTACAGTACGGTGTCCCAGTCGCTGTATTTCGCCGATGTAGCGCTGGCCTCACCTTGTTACATTACAACTCGTTGAAAAGATCGCGGTTGAGCTGGGGGAGATGACGTTTTTCTCAGCCACCACGGACTGTGGTTGTGACAGGCTCATCTTTTCTTGCAAAAAATGCTTAGTATGAGCATGCACAATATTTCAGAGATCTTAATGTTTTGTTGTTAAAGATAAAAGTTTAACATTTGTTTTATCTTGAAATGTAGTTAGTTAGTAGCTATATGTTGCCACAGGCAGGTGTTAATTTTTTTATATTCACATTATGCTGAGAGGCCTAAGAGAAGTGTTTATTTTATTTTTTTATTGTATGTTATATGTTACAAATTATGTTGTTATCTGATTTTCTTAATCAGAAAATTTAAAGCTACTGTGAAGTTTGATGTTTCAACTTTTGCTTAAACCTGGTTTAAGCTTGAAATTGTTGAAATAACAGAGCCCCTCATTACTTGCATTTTAACTCTTTGAGGACAATCACACGCAATAAATTTGCCACTTTTGACAATATATCTGATGTTCTCCAGTCATTTTTAAAAAAATTCCATAAAAAAAAAAATAAAATAATTAAACTTTAGTTTACTAGTTGCATTGTGGGAAAAAAAAATCGAAAATCGAATCGAAACTTGAATTTTTCTTTTTAACAAATCGGAGATTTTTTTTTAGGCAAAATCGGCCAGCCCTAACTTACAACACATTTAGCACTTTACAACACATTCAACACTTACAAACACATTTGCACTTTACAACACATTTAGCACTTTACAACACATTAAGCACTTTTACAAACAACAGCACTTTACAACACATATGCACTTACAACACATTCAAGCATCTTTTACAACACCCCATTCAGCACTTTACAACAACATTTAGCACTTTACAACAAAATTAACACACTTACAACAAATCGAGACACCTTACAACAACCTTCTTACTTCCTCTTCTTCCCCTTCTTCCTTTCTTCCTCTCTTCCTCTTCTTCCCTTCTTCCCCTTTCTTCCCCTTCTTCCTCTTCTTCTCTTCATTCCTCTTCTCTCCCTTTCTTTCTCTTCTCTCTTTTCCTCTCCTCGTTCTCTTCTTTCTCTTCCTTTCTCCTCTTTCTCTTTCTTTCTCTTCTTCCTATTCTTCCTATTCTTCCCTCTTTTCCCCTTCATCCTCTTCTGCTCTTCTTCCTTTTCCTCTTCTTCTTCCCCTTTCTTCCCTTTCTTTCTTCTTCCTCTCCTCTTCCTTCTTCTGTCCTTTTTCCCTTTTCTTTCTTCTTCCTTCTTCTTCCCCTTCTCTTCCTTCTTCATCCCTAAACCCTCCAACATTCTATGCAGCCACTCACTATGGGCTTAGCCATTTGTTCCATTTCTAGTTGAGTGGCTGCATAGGACTATGCAGCCACTATATGCCTCTCCTACTGTTTTTTTGAGTGGGCTGCTAGACTATGCAAGCATCTATATGCCTCCTACGGTTTATTCTTCTTCCACTTCCGCAAGATTTTGGCACTTTTCAACTCTTCAACGCTTTCACAAATTCAACATAATTATACATCGTACGAACGGCTTCACCGTCTCATTATTACTTTACTTTTTCACATTCCACCTTTTATTTTTTTATTAAACACTTTTTTCAGATATTAACAAAAGTTCTCGCACTTTTTCCCATAGACATACATTGGACCAGACAACAGATTACTCCCCATACAAAACATTACCCACTAACAATTCATTACCACAGATACAAATACATTACAGCTTCTTACAAGCACTACTAGCACTTACAACACATTTAGCAACTTTACCACACATTCAAACACCTTACAACACTTACAAGCACTTACAACACAATATATATCACTTAACAACACATACAACACCATCTCAATTAACCACACATATCCAACTTACACACAACATTCAATCACTAACAACACATTTCGGCACTTTCAACACATTTATCACTTTACAACAACTTTCAACACCTTTAAAACAATTTAGCACTTATACAACAAATTTCAACACCTTTTCACACATTTAGCACTTTACACGTACTATTCACTTAACACACTTTCATTTCCTTTACAACACATTCTTCTTACATTTCCTCTTCTTTCCTTCTTCCCCTTTTTCCTCTTCATCCTCCTCTACACTGATTTCCCCTTCTTCCTCTTCTTCCCCTTCTTCTCTCTTCTTCTCTTCTACCCCTTCTTCCTCATCTTCCTGTACTTCCCCTTCTTCCTTTCTCCCACTTCTTTCCTCTTTTCCTCTTCTTCCCTTCTCCCTCTTCTTCACTGTTCTTCCTCTTCTTTTCCCTTTTTCCTCTTCTTCCCCTTCTTCTCTTCTTCCCCTTCATCCTCTTCTTCCTCTTCTTCCCCTTTTTCCTCTTCTTGCTCTTCTTCCTCTTCTTCCCCTTTTTCCTCTTCTTCCCCTTCTTCCTCTGTTTTCCTCTTCTTTCCTCTTCATCCCCTTTTCCTCATCTTCCCCTTCTTCCTCTTTTTCTCCTTCTTCCCCTTCTTCTTCTTCTCTCCTTCTTCCTTCTTGTCTTTCCTCTTCTTCCCTTTTTTTCTTCTCCTTCTTCTTCCTTCTTCATCCCTAACCCTTCCAACATCTATGCAGCCACTCACCATGGCTCAGCCATTGTACCATTTCTAGTTCTTCTTCCACTTCGCCAGATTTTGGTTCGGCTCTTTTCAACTCTTCAACGCCTTTCACCAAATTCAACCAAAATTTTAACATCGTTCGACCGGCTCACGTCTCAATTATTGCTATTACTTTTCACATTCCACCTTTAGCACTTTTTCAGAATTAACAAAAGTTCAAGCACTTTTTCCATAGATCTTTACATTGGACCAGTACAACAGATTACTTCCCAATACAACACATTACCACACTAACCCCCAAAAAAAAAAAAATTCAATCACCAACAGATTCAATTACATTACAACATCTTACAACACTTTACCGAACCTTAACAACACATTTAGGCACTTTACAACAAATTCAAAACCGTACAACACCATTTTAGCACTTTACAACATATTCAAACACCTTACAACACATTTAGCTCTTTACAACAAATTAAACACCTTACAACTCATTCAGCACGCTTACTACATTTCAACACCTTACATAGGGCTGGGCAAAAAATCGATATTTAATCGATTTTATCGATTTTGTAGCTTAAAAGGATTTTTATTTTGCAAAACTGAGTTTTTTTTTCACAAATTTTTTTCTGAGTTTTTTGCGTGTCGTCCTTGTGGGTTACGTTAGAGCGTTATGGAGCATCCCCTCTCCGCCGCGTAAACACAGTCAATCAAGAATGGCGCGTTGTCTAGTAGTGCAGGGTGTTCCCAAAGTTTTAGCCCGCGACCCCCTTCATTAAATGCCCTGCTAACCTCCTCAGCAGAAGTGGAGCGCATTTTCTTGCGGCTCGCCGCTCACTGTTCTCCTACCGCGGTAAAGTGGGGCCGGCTTTCGGAGTCAGCGGTTAAAGAGGTCCGGCAATAAAAGCGGCGGCGCTTTCTGTGTTACTTAGGCGGTTCATCCCCGCAGGCTTCTCTTTCCAAAAGTTTACTGGTCAGTAAAGGCATAGACCGGCCACCCGCTTTTAATTTGCGGACCTCTTTACCTTTGGACTCCGAAGAAAAGCCGGGCCTCTTTAACGCGTGTTCTTCCGCTTTCCTTTCTCCCTCCTTTCCCTCTCTCCCTCTCTTCGCCACCATCAGCCTGACCCCTGTAAAAGTGACTTTTCCTCTCCCTCTCTGCCCTCTCTCCTCCTTGCCCTCTCTCCTCCGCTGCCCTCTCTCCCTACGCTGCCCTTCTCTCCATCCGCTGCCCTCTCTCCTCCGATTGCCTCTCTTCTCCGCTGCCCCTCTCTCCCTCTTCCCCCGCCTGCACTCTCTTTTTCCCTCCTCTGCCCTCTCTCCCTCCGCTGCCCTCTCGCCTCCTCTGTCCCTCTCTCCCTCCCCGCTGCCCCTCTCCTCCCCTCTGCCCTCTTCTCCCTCGCTGCCCTCTCTCCCTCCGGACTGCCCTCTCTCCCTCCGTGCCCTCTCTCCATCCCCCCGCTGGCCTCTCTTCCTCCGCTGCCCTCTCTCCCTCCTCTGCCCTCTCTCCCTCCCTCTGGACCTCTCTCCCTCTCTTTCGCACCATCAGCTGTCCCCTGATACAAAAGTGACTTTTCTCCCCCTCCGGGGGTTTTCTGTTGTTGGATATTAACCACGTTTCATTTTAAAGAGGTCTTATTTATTTGTAGCCTCCAAACACCGTTAGTTTTAGTCAAACACAGTAGGGACACGCTTTGTCGCTGCGGGCATGATTGTGAGCTGTGTTACGTGATGATTTTGATTGACGCTGCAGATGACTGGGGACAAAATTACTAACGTATTAAAATATATTATAGTCTCCAAACCTATTTAACAAGTAGTCTTTGAATCAAATCAGAAATGCTAAAATAAATATTAAGGGCTTTATTATTTGCTCAAAAAAAAAAAAAATCTTTTTTTTTTTGTTTCTGTGTAGAAATCAGCATGCGTCCCCCCCAGAGGGTTCCCGCGACCCCCGGGGGGGTTTTAACAGGGGGGGGCTTGTTAAAAGTATTCGATGCGAGGTTAAGTACGTTGTCCCCAGTCCGCAAGTATTTCGCCGATGTAGCGATGTGCCTCACCTGTGCAATGACAAACTCGTGAAAAGTCCGCGGGAGCTGGGGGGAGGAGATCGACGTTGTACTACAGCCACCACGGGACCTGTGTGGTTGTGGACAGGCTATCTTTCTTGCAAAAATGCTTAGAAGAGCATGCACAATATTTCAAGAGATCTATTGTTTTGTTGTTAAAGATAAGTTTACATTTGTTTATCCTTTGATAAGTAGTTAGTGAGTAGCCTATATGTCTGCCAACAGGCATGTTTACTTTTTTTTATATTCACATTATGCTGAGAGGTAAGATAAGAGAAGAGTTTATTTGATTTTTTTTGTATTTATATGTACCAAAATATGTAGTGATGCTGATTTCTTAATCAGAAATTTAAGCTCACTGTGATGTTGATGTTGCACTTTTGCTTAAACCTGTGTTAAAGCTTGAAATGTTGAATAAAACAGAGCCTCATTTTACTTGCATTTTAACTCTTGAGGACAATCACAGCCAATAAATTTGCACTATTGACTATATATCTGATGTCTCCAGTCATTTATAAGTGCAGTGGGAAAAAAAATCGAAAATCGAATCGAAAATACTTGAATTTTTTTTTAAAAATCGGAGATTTTTTTTTTAGGCAAATCGCCCAGCCCTACCCTTACAACACATTTTGCAATTTACAACAACATTAACACCATACACACATTTAGCACTTTACATCACATTTAGGCACTTTACAACACATTAAGCACTTTACAACACATTCAGCCTTTACAACCCCCCCCCCCCATTAGCCTTTTACAACACATTCAGCACTTTACAACCCTTCAGCACTTTACAACACATTTAGCACTTTACAACAAATTCAAACACCTTACAAACAAATTCAACACCTTACAACACCTTCTTCTTCCTCTCTTTCCCCTTCTTCTCTTCTTCCTCCTTCTTCCTCACTTTCCCCTTATTCCCCTTCTTTCCCCTTCTTCCTCTGTTCTCTTCTTCCTTTCTTCCCCTTCTTTCTACTTCTATCTTTTCCTCTCTCCTTTCTCTTCTTTTCTCTTCTTTCTCTTCTTTCTCTTCTTTCTCTCTTTCCTCTTCTTCCTCTTCTTCCTCTTCTTCCCCTTCTTCCTCTTCCTTCCTCTTCTTCCCCTTTTTCCTCTTTTCTTCTTCCTTGCTTCCCTTTCTTTTTCGTTCCTCCTCCTCTTCACTTCTTCTTTCCTCTTCTTCCCTTTCTTTCATCTTCCTTCTTTTTCCCTTTCCTCTTCCTTCTTTCTCACCTAAACTTTCCAAATCTATGGCTGCACTTCCACAATGGGGTTCTTCCAGCCATTGTACCATTTTTGTTGAGTGGCTGCAATAGACATGCAGCCACTATATGCTCTTACTGTTTTATTGATTGGCATGCATAGACTATGCAGCCACTATATGCTCTCCTTCTGTTTATTCTTTTCCACTTCCGCCAGATTTGGAACTTTTCAAACTCTTCAACGCTTTCACCAAATTCAACAAATTATACATCGTTCGAACGCTGTCACCGTCTCATTATTGCTAATTACTTTTCACACTTCCACCTTTAGCACTTTTTCATATATTAACAAAAGTTCAAGCACTTTTCCATAGGACTTACATTGGCCAGTATACAACAGATTACTCCCCATAAACACCTTAACCACATCTAACAACAATTATCCTTACCACAGAAACAATACATTACATCATCTTACACACTTACATCACCTTACAAACACATTTACGCACTTTTACAACCCATTCAACACCTTACCAACACTTTACGCACCTACAACACATTTATTCACTTTTACACAAATTCAACACAATTTAGCATTTTCTTACAACACATCAACACCTTAAAACAAATTCAAACCTTACAACACATTTAGCACTTTACAAACACATTTAGCAATTTACAACAAATTCAACACCTTAAAACACATTTAGCACTTTTACAACAAATTCAAACACTTTCAAACACATTAAGGCACTTTCCAATCGTATTTAGCACTTTTACAACACTTTCAGTCCCTTACAACACATTCTTCTTACTTCTTCCTCTCTTTCCCTTCTTCCCCTTTTCCTCTTTCTTCCTATCATCCTGTATTCTTCCCTTCTTCCTCTTTCTTCCCTTCTTCCTTTCTTCCTCTTCTTCCCTCTTCCTCATCTTCCTGTACTTTCCCCTTCTTCCTCTTTCTTATCTTCTCTTTTCCTCTTCTTCCCCTTCTTCCTCTTCTTCGTTCTTCCTCTTCTTTCCCTTATTCCTCTTCTTCCCCTTCTTCCTCTTCTTCCCATTCATCCTCTTCTTCCTCTTCTTCCCCTTTTTTTCCTCCTTCTTGCTCTTCTTTCCTCTTCTTCCCCTTTTTCCTCTTCTTCCCCTTCTTTCTCCTTCTTCCTCTTCTTTCTTCTTTCCCTTTTTCCTCTTCTTCCCTTCTTCATCTTCTTCTCATTCTTCCCCTTCTCTGCTTCCTCTCCTCTCCCGTCTTCGTCTTTCCTTCTTCTTCCTTTTCTTTCTTCTTTCCTTCTTTTCCTTCTTCATCCCTAACCCTTCAACATCTATGCAGCCACTCTCAATGGCTTTCAGCCATTTTACCATTTCTAGTTCTTCTTCAACTTCCGCCAGACTTTTGGCACTTTTCAACTCTTCAACGCTTTCACCAAATCAACAAATTATACATCGTTTCGGACCGGCTTCACCGTCTCATTATTGCTATTACTTTTCACACTTCCACTTTAGCACTTTTTCAGATTTTAACAAAAGTAAGAACTTTTTCCATAGACTTACATTGGACCAGTACAACAGATTACTCCCCATACAACACATTACCACCTAACAATTCATACCACGATACAATAATTACAACATCTTACAACACTACAGCACCACTTTACAACACATTTAGCACTTTTCAACCAAATTCAACACGTACAACACATTTTGCAATTACAACATATTAAAACACCTTACAAACACATTTTTCACTTTACAACAAAAATTCAACACCTTACAACACATTCAGCACCTTACAACAAATTCAACACCTGTTTCATAGGGCTGGGCAAAAAACGATTAATCGATTTATCGATTTTGTGAGCTTAAAAGGATTTTTTATTTTGCAAAACTCGAGTTTTTTTTTCACCAAATTTTTTTTCTGAGGTTTTTTGCGTTTTACGTCCTTGTGGGTTTACCGTAGAGCGTTATGAGCAAGCCCCCTCCGCCGCGTAAACACAGTCAAAACAAGATTGCAGCGTGTGTCAGTAGTAGAGCAGTGGGTTCCCAAAGTCTTTTAGCCCGCGCGACCCCCATATAATGCCCTGCTAACCCTCCTCAGCATTGTGGAGCGCATTTCTTGCGGCTCGCCCTCACTGTTCTCTACCGCGGTAAAGTGGGCCGGTCTTTCCGGGAGTCAGCGGTTAAGAGGTCCGAGCACATTTAAAAGCGGGCGGCGCTTTCTGCTCTTTACTTATGCAGGCTCATTCCGGGCTTCTCTTTCCAAAGTTACTGTCAGTAAAGGCATAGACCGCCACCCGCTTTTAATGTGCGGACCTCTTTACCTTTGACTCCGAAAAAGCCGGGCCTCTTTAACGCGCTGTTTACCGCTTGTTCCTTTCTCCCTCTTTGCCACTCTCCCTCTTTCGCTCCATCAGCCTGACCCCTGATAAAGTGGACTTTTCTCTCCTCCTCTGCCCTCTCTCCCTCCTCTGCCCTCTCTCCCTCCGCTGCCCCTCTTCTCCCTCCGCTGCCCTCTTCCTCACCGACTGCCCTCTCTCCTCCAGCTGCCCTCTCTCCCTCCGCTGCCTCCCTCCCTTCCCGGCTGCACTCTCTCCTCCTCTGCCCTCTCTCCCTCCGCTGCCTCTCTCCACTCCCTCTGCCCTCTCTCACCGCTGCCCCCTCTCTCCCTCCTTGCCCCTCTCTCCCTCGTCCCCGCTGCCCTCTCTCCCTTCCGCGCCGCTGCCTCTCTCCTCCCCGCTGCCCTCGTTTCCCTCTCCCCGCTGGCCTCTCTTCCTCGCTGCCCTATCTCCCCTCCTCTGCCCTCTCTCCCTCCTCTGCCTCTTCTCCCTCTCTTCGCAACATCAGCCTGACCCCTGATACAAGTGTCTTTTCTTCCCCCTCCGGGAGGTTTTCTGTTAGTGGTTATTAACCTCGTTTCATTTTTTAAAGCAGGTATTATTTATTTGTAGTCCTCCAAAACACCTTTAGTTTTAGCAAAACAAAAGGGTAGGACACGCTTTGTCGCTGCGCATGATGTGAGCGTGTGTTACGTGCATGATTATTTTGATGGCGCCTGCAATGACTGGGACAAAATTACTTACGTTATTTTAAAATTTTTATAGTCTCCCAAACACAATTTTATAAACCCCCAAGTAGTCCTTTTGAATCAAATCAAATGGCTAATAAAATATTTAAGGGCTTTATTATTTGCTCAAAAAAAAAAAATCTTTTTTTTTTTGTTTGTGTAGAAATCATATGCGACACCCCCAGGGGTTCCCGCGACCCCCCCGGGGGGGTTTTAAAGGGGGGATTGTTTAAAAGTATTTAGAGGCGAGGTACAGTACGTTGTCCCCTGTCGCAAGGTATTTCGCAGATGTACGCGCATCTGGCCTCACCTGTACAATACAACTCGTTGAAAAGATCCGCGGGAGCTGGGGGATGATGACGTTTTACTTCAGCACACGGACCTGTGGTTGTGGACAGGCTCTTCTTTCTTTGCAAAAAATGTTAGAATGAGCTTGCCAATATTTCAGGATCTAATGTTTTGTTGTTAAAGATAAAGTTTACATTTGTTTATCTTTGATAACGTAGTTTGTTAGTAGTATATGTCTGACACAGGCATGTTTAATTTTTTTTATTCACATTTGCTGATACGAGGGCTCAAAGAGAGAGTTTATTTTATTTTTTATGTAATGTTATATGTAACAAAATATGTAGTTATCTGATTTCTTAATCAGAAATTTAAAGCTACTGTGAAGTTGATGTTGCACTTTTGCTTAAACCTGGGTAAAGCTTGAAATTGTTGAATAACAGAGCCTCATTTATTGCATTTTAACTCCTTGAGGGACAATCACAGCAATAAATTTGCACTTTTGACAATATATCTGATGTCTCCGTCATTTTTAAGTGCATTTGGGGGAACAAAAATCGAAAATCGTAATCGAACACTTGAATTTTTCTTTAAAAATCGGAGATTTTTTTTTTTTTAGGCAAAATCGCCAGCCCAAACTTACCAACACATTTAGCACTTTACAACACCATTCAACCACTTACAACCATATTTTAGCACTTTACAACACAATTAGCACTTTACAACACCATTAAGCCACTTTACAACCGATTCTGCACTTTACCACACATTTAGCACTTTACAACACATTCAGCACTTTACAACCATTCAGCACTTTACACACACATTTAGCACTTTACAACTAATTCACCACCTTACAACAAATTCAACACTTACAACACCTTCTTACTTCCTCTTCTTCCCCTTCTTCCTCTTCTTCCTCTTCTTCCTCTTCTTCCCCTTTTCTTCCCCTTTCTTTCCCTTCTTCCTTTCTTCCTCTTCTTCCTATTTCTTCCCCTTCTTCTCTTCTACTCTTTTCCTCTCCTCCGTTCTCTTCTTTCTCTTTTCTTTCTCTTCCTTTCTCATCTTTCTCTTCTTCCTCTTCTTCCTCTTCTTCCTCTTCATCCCCTTCTTCCTCTTTCTTCTCTTTCTTCCCCTTTTTCTCTTCTTCTTCCCCTTCTTCCCTTTTCTTTTCTTCTCCTCCTCTTCCTTCTTTTTCCTCTTCTTCCCTTTTCTTTCTTCTTCCTTCTTCTTCCCTTCCTCTTCCTTCTTCATCCCTAACCCTGTCCACATCTATGCTGCCACTCAAATGGCTTCAGCCATTGTTACCATTTTCTAGTTGGTGGCTGCATAGACTATGCAGCCACTGTATTTTTTGCTTTTCTCCTACTGTTTATTGGAGTGGCTGCATAGACTATGCAGCCAACTAGATATGCTCTCCTACTGTTTATTCTATCTTCCACTTCCGCCAGATTTTGGGCACATTTCAAATCTTCAACGCTTTCACCAAATTTAACAAATTTTACATCGTTACGAACGGCTTCCACCGTCTCCTTTACTGCTATTACTTTTCACACTTCCACCTTTAGCACTTTTTCGATATTAACAAAAGTAAGCACTTTTTCCCATAGACTTACATTGGAAGACTACAACAGATTATCCCCATACAACACATTACCACACTTACAATTCTTAACCACAGATACAATACATTCAGGCATCTTACAACACTTACAGCACCTTACAACACATTTAGCACTTTACAACACATTCAAACTCCTTACCACACTTAAAGCACTTACAACACATTTAGCACTTTACCACAAATCAACACATTTAGCATTTTACAACACATCGACCCTTTTAAAACACAAATTCAATACCATACAAAACACATTTAGGCACTTTACAACCACATTTAGCACATTTACAACACTTCAACACCTTAAAAACACATTTATCACTTTTACAACCAATTCAAACACCTTTCACACATATAGCACTTTACAACGTATTTAGCACTTTCAACACTTTCAGTCCCTTACAACACATTCTTCTTATTCTTCCTCTTCTTTCCCTTCTTCCCCTTCTTCCTCTTTCTTCCTCATCTTCCTGTTTTCCCCTTCTTCCTCTTCTTCCTTCTTCCTCTTTTCCTCCTTCTTCCCTTCTTCCTTATCTTCCTGTACTTCCCCCTTCTTTCTCTTCTTCCCCTTCTTCCTCTTCTGCCTCTTCTTCCCCTTCTTCTCTTCTTCTGATTCTTCCTCTTCTTTCCCTTTTTCCTCTTTTCCCCTTCTTCCTCTTCTTCCCTTCTTCCTTCTTTCTTCCTCTTCTTCCCTCTTTTTCCTCTTCTTGCTCTTCTTCCTCTTTTCCCCTTATTCCTCTTCTTACCCCTTCTTCCTCTTCTTCCTTCTTCTTCCTCTTCTTCCCCTTTTCCTCTTCTTCCCCTTCTTCTCTTCTTCTCCTTCTTCCCACTGTCTTCTTCCTCCTTCCTCATCTTCCTTCTTCGTCTTTCTCTTCTTCCCTTTTCTTTTTCTTCCTTCTTCTTCCTTCATCATCCCTAAACCTTTCCAACATTATGCAGACCACTCACAATGGCTTCAGCCTATTGTACCATTTCTAGTTCTTCTTCCACTTTCCGCCAGATTTTGGCACTTTCAACTATTCAACGACTTTCACAAATTCAACAATTATACATCGTTACGACCAGGCTATCACCGTCTCATTATTGCTATTAATTTTCACACTTCCACCTTTAGGCACTTTTTTCATGATATTAACAAAAGTTACAAGACTTTTTCCCTTAGACATTTCATTTGGACCATACAAACAGATTTATCCCCATACAACACATTACCACACTAAACAATTATCTCCTCAGATACAATTACATTACAACATCTTACACACTTACCAGCGCTTACAACCACATTTAGCACTTTACAACAAATTCAACACGTACAACACATTAGCACTGTACAACATATTCAAACACCTTACAAACACATTAGACTTTACAACACAATTCAACACCTTACAACACATTCAGCACCTTACAACAAATTCAACACCTTACATAGGGACTGGGCAAAAAATCTGATTTTAATCGATTTTCGATTTTGTAGCTTTAAAAGGATTTTATTTTGCAAACCTCGAGTTTTTTCTTCACCAAATTTTTTTTCGGAGTTTTTTGCCGTTCGTCTTGTGGTTACCTTAGAGCGTTATGAGCCAGACCCCCCTTCCGCCGCGTAAACACAGTCCAAAAAACAAGATGGCAGACGTGTAGTAGGCAGGGGTTCCAAAGTCTTTTGCCCGCGACCCCATCATAAATGCCCTGCTAACCCTCTCAGCAGAAGTGGAGCGATTTCTCTGAGCTCGCCCTCACTGTCTCTCTACCGCGGGTAGTAAAGAAATGGGCCGGCTTTCTGAGTCTGCGGTAAAAGAGGTCCGCACATTTAAAGCGGGCGGCCGCTTTATGCTGTTACTTTATGCGGTTCATCCCGCGGCTTCTCTTTCCAATAAGTTACTGTCAGTAAAGGCATAGACCGCCACCGCTTTTAATGTGCGGACCTCTTTACCTTGACTCCGAAAAGCCGGGCCTCTTTAACGCGCTGTTCTACCGGCTGTCCTTTCTCCCTCCTTTGCCCTCTCTCCCTCTCTTCGCTCCATCAGCCTGACCCTGGTACAAGTGACTTTTCTCTCCCTCCCTCTGCACCTCTCTCCATCCTTGCCCTCTCTCCACCGCCGCTGCCCTCTCTCCTCCGCTGCCCTCTCTCCCCTCCCGCTGCCCTCTCTCCCTGCCGTGGCCCTCTCTCCTCCCCGCTGCCCTCTCTCCCTCCCGCTGCCCTCTCTCCCTCCTCTGACCTCTCTCACTCCCCGCTTGCCCTCTCTCCTCCTCTGCCCTCTCTCCCTCCGCTTGCCCTCTCTCCCTCCCGCCTCTTGCCCTCTCTCCCTCCGCTGCCTCTCTCCCTCCGTTCCCTCTCTCCCTCCGCTGCCCTCTCTCCTCCGCTGGCCCTCTCCTTCCTTCCGCTGCCCTCTCTCCCTCCTCTGCCATCTCTTCCCTCTCCTTGCCCTCTATCCCTCTCTTCGCACCACTCAGCCTTGACCCTGATACAAGTGACTTTTCTCCCCCTCGGGGTTTTCTGTTGTGGATATTAACCACGTTTCATTTTAAAGCATGGTATTATTTATTGTAGACTCCAAAACACCTTTAGTTTTAGCAAAACAACAGTAGGGACACGCTTTTGACAGTCTGCGCATGATGTGAGCTGTGTTTACGTGATGATTTTGTTTGACGCTGCAATGACTTGGGACTAAAAATACTAACGTGTCTTAAATATATTATAGTCTCCAAACACAATTTAACAAAGTAGTCCTTATGAAAATCATAATCAAATGCTAAATAAAATATTTACGGGCTTTATAATTGCTCAAAAAAAAAAAAAAATCTTTTTTTTTTGTTTGTGTTAGATAGAAATCATCATGCGACCCCCCACAGGGGTTCCCGCGACCCCCCGGGGGTTTTTAGCGTTTTAACAGGTGGGGCATGTTAAAAGTATAGATGCGAGGTACAGTACGTTGATCCCCAGTCGCAAGTATTTCGCCGATGTTAGCGCTGACTCACTGTCAATACAAACTCGTGAAAAGATCGCGGTGAGCTGGGGTAGAGATGACGTTTTACTCAGCAACCACGGACCTGTGGTAGTGGACAGGTCATCTTTCTTGCAAAAAATGCTTAGATATGAGCTATGCACAATGATTTCCGAGATCTAATGTTGTGTTGTTAAAGATATAGTTTTACATTTGTTTATCCCTGTTTGATAAGTTGTTAGTTAGTAGCTATATGTTCTGCCACAGGGCTGTTTAATTATTTTTTTTATTACATTATGCTGAGAGGCTAAGAGAAGAGTTTATTATATTTTTTATTGTAATGTTTTATGTTACAAAATTGTAGTTGTAGTTATTCTGATTTCTTAATCAGAAAATTTAAGCTATGTGAAATTTGATGTTGCACTTTTGCTTAAACCTGGGTTTTAAAGCTTGAAATTGTTGAATAACAGAGCCTCATTTACTTGCATTATTTTTAACTCTTGAGGACAATCACAGCAATAAATTTGCACTTTTGACAAATATATCTGATGTCTCCAGTCATTTTTAAGTGCATTGGGGGAAAAAAAATCGAAAAATCGTGAATGAAACTTGAATTTTTCTTTTAAAAACTCGGAGGAGATTTTTTTTTTAGTCAAAATCGCCCAGCCCTAACCTTACAACACATTTAGCACTTTACAACACATTCAACCCCTTACAACACATTTAGCACTTTACAACAACATTTAGCACTTTACAACACATTAAGGCACTTTACAACAATTCAGACTTTTACAACACATTAGCACCTTTACAACACATTCAGCACTTACAACACATTCAGCATTTAACATCACATTTAGCAACTTTAAACAAATTCCAACACCTTACAACAAATTCAACACCTTACAACACCTTCTTACTTCCTCTTCTTCCTTCTTCCTCTTCTTCCTCTTCTTCCTCCTTCTTCCCCTTCTGTCCCTTCTTCCCCTTCTTCTCTCTTCCTCTTTTCCTCTTCTTCCCCTCTTTCTTTCTCTCTTTTCCTCCTCTCCGTTCTCTTCTTTCTCTTGCTTTCACTTCTTTCTCTTCTTTCTTCTTCTTCCTCTTCTTCCTCTTTTCCTATTCTTACCCCTACTTCTCTTCTTCCTCTTCTTCCCATTTTTCCTCTTCTTATTTCCCTTCTTCCCTTTCTTCTTCTTCTCCTCCTCTTCCTTCTTCTTTCCTCTTCTTCCCTTTTCTTCTTCTTCCTTCTTCTTCCCTCCTCTTCCTTCTTCATACCTAACCCTTCCAACATCTATGCAGCCACTTCCACATTGGCTTCAGCCTATTGTACCAATTTCTAGTTGAGTGGCGGCATAGACGATGCAGCCACTATATGCTCTCCTTACTGTTATTGAGTGGCCTGCATAGATCTTGCAGGCCACTATATGGCTCTCCTACTGTTTTTTCTTCTTCCACTTCCGCAGATTTTGGCATTCTTTTCAACTCTTCAACGCTTTCACCAAATTCAACAATTATACATCGTACGAACGGCTTCACCGTCTCATTATTGCCTATTACTTTTCACACTTCCACCTTTAGACTTTTTAGATATTAACAAAAGTTCAAGCACTTTTTCCCATAGACTTACATTGGACCAGTACAACAGATTACTCCCCCATACAACACATTACACTACAACAATTCATTACCACAGATACAATACATTACAGCATCTTTACAACACTTAACAGCACACTTACAACACATTTAGCACTTTACAACAATCAACACTTACAACACTTCAGCACCTTCACAACACATTCTAGCACTTTAACAACAAATTCATCACATTTAGCATTTTACAAAAACACATTCAAACACCTTTTTAAAAACAAATTCAATACCTTACACACATTTAGCATATACAACACATTTAGCACTTCTTTACAACAAATTCCAAAACCTTAAAACACATTTAGCACTTAACAAACAAATCAAAACACCTTTCAACACATTTAGCACTTTTAACAATTCGTATTTAGGCACTTTACAACACTTTCAGTCCCTTACAACACATATCTTCTTACTTCTTTCCTTTTCTTTCCCTTCTTCCCCTTCTTCTTCTTCTTCCTCATTTCCTGTTCTTCCCCTTCTTCCTCTTCTTCCCTTCTTCCTCTTCTTCCTCTTCTTCCCCTTCTTCCTCATCTTCCTGTACTTCCCCTTTTCCTCTTCTTCCCTCTTCTCCTCTTCTTCCTCTTCTTCCCCTTCTTCCTCTTCTTCCTTGTTCTTTCACTCTTCATTCCCCTTTTTCCTCTTCTTCCCTTCTTCCTCCTCTTCCCCTTCTTCCTCTTCTTCCTTTCTTCCCCTTTTTCCTCTTCTTGCTGCTTCTTCCTCTTCTTCCCCCTTTTTTCTCTCTTCTTCCCTTCTTCCCCTTCCTCCTCTTCTCCTCTTTCTTCCTCCTTTTCCCTTTTCCCCTTTCCTCTTCTTCCTCACTTCTTCCCTTCTTTCTTCTTCCTCCTCCTCTTCCTTTCTTCGCTTTCCTCTTCTTCTTTTCTTTCTTCTTCCTTTTCGGCCTTCTTCATCCCTAACCCTTCCAACATCTATGCAGCCACTCACATTGGATTCAGCCATTGATACCATTTCTAGTTTCATCTTCCACTTCCGCCAGATTTTGGCCCTTTTCAACTCTTCACGCTTTCACCAAATTCAACAATTTATACATCGTTACGACCGGCGTCACCGTTCATTATTGCTATTCTTTTAACTTCACCTTTAGCACTTTTTCAGATTTAAACAAAAGTTCAAGCACTTTTTCCCATCAGACTTAATTGGACCTGTACAACAGATTACTCCCCATACCAACACATTACACCGACTAACAATTCATCACCACCGATACAATAATTACAACAATCTTACAACACTTACACACCTTACAACACATTTTAGACTTTACAACCAAATTCTACACCGTACAAACACTTTTAGCACTTTACAACTATTCAAACATCCTTACAACACATGTAGCACTTACAACAAATTCAACACCTTACAACACATTCGCACCTTTCAACAAATTCATACACCTTACATAGGGCTGGCAAAAAAATCGATTTAATCGATTTATCGATTTTGTTGCTTTAAAAGGATTTTATTTTTGCAAACTCGAGTTTTTTTGTTCACCAAATTTTTGTCTTTTTCTGAGTTTTTTGCGTTTCGTCCTTGTGGGTTACCGTAGAGCGTTATGAGCCATCCCCCTCGCCGCGTAAACACAGGTCAAAGAACAGAATGGCACGCCAGAGTGTAGTAGAGCAGGGAGTCCAAAGTCTTAGCCCGCGACCCCATCTTAATTGCCCCTGTAACCCTCCTCAGCAGTGGAAGTTGGAGCGATTTCTTGCGGCTCGCCCTCAACGTTCTCCTACCGCGGTTAGTGGGCAGGCTTTCCGGACGTCAGCGGTAAAGAGGTCCGCACATTAAAAGCGGGCGGCCGCTTTCTGCTGTTACTTTATGGCGGTTCATCCCGCGGCTTCTCTTTCCAAAGTTACTGTCGTAAAGGCCATAAGACCGGCCACCCGCTTTTAATGTGCGGACCTCTTTTACCTTTGACACCGAAAAGCCGGGCCTCTTTAACGCGCTGTTCTACCGCTGTCCTTTCTCCTCCTTTGCCCATCTCTCCCTCTCTTCGCACCATCAGCCTGGACCCCTGATACAAGTGACTTTTCTCTCCCTCCTCTGACCTCTCTCCCTCCTCTGCCCTCTCTCCCTCCCGCTGCCCTCTCTCCCTCCGCTGCACTCTCTCCTCCGCTGCCCTCTCTCCCTCCGCGCCCCTCTCTCCCTCCGCTCTGCCCTCTCTCCCTTCCGCTGCCCTCTCTCCCTCCTCTGCCCCTCTCCCTCCGCTGCCCTCTCTCTTCCCCCTCTGCCCTCTCTCCCTCCCGCTGCCTCGTCCTCTCCCTCTCCTCTGCCTCTCTCCCTCCGCTGCCTCTCTCCCTACCGCTGCCCTCTCTCCCTCCCGCTGCCACTATCCCTGCCCACGCTGGCCTTCTTCCTCCGCTGCCCTCTCTCCCTCCTCTGCCTCTCTCCCTCTCTCTGCCCTCTCTCCCTCTCTTCGCACCATCAGCCTGACCCCTGTAATTACCAAGTGACTTTTCTCCCCCTCCGGGGTTTTCTGTTGTGGATTTAACCACGTTTCATTTTAATGCAGGTATTATTTATTTGTAGGCCTCCATAACACTTTAGTTGTTTTAGCAACAACTGTAGGACCACGCTTGTCGCTGCGCATGATGTGAGCTGGGTTACTTGAATGATTTTGATTGACGCTTGCAATGACTGGGACAAAATTACTAACGTTATTAAAATATATTATAGTCTCCAAACACAATTAACAAGTAGTCCTTTGAATCAAATAAATGCTAAATAATATTTAAGGGCTTTATATTTGCTCAAAAAAAAAAAATTCTTTTTTTTTTTGTTTGTGTAGAAATCATCATGCGACCCCCAGGGGTTCCCGCGGACCCCCCGGGGTGGGTTTTAACAGAGGGGGGCATGTTAAAAGTATTAGATGCGTGGTACGTACGTTGTCCCAGTCGCAAGTATTCGCGATGTAGCGCTGCCTCACCTGCACAATACAATCTCGTGAAAAGATCCGCGGTGAGCTGGGAGATGACGTTTTATCTGCCACCACGGCTGTGGTTGTGGGGACAGGCTCATCTTCTTGCAAAAAATTGCTTAGAATGTGCCATGCCAATATTTCAGAGTTCTAAGTTTTGTGTTTAAGATAAAAAGTTTTACATTTGTTTCTGCCTTTGATAAGTAGTTAGTTAGTAGACTATATGTCTGCCCCAGGCATGGGGTTTAATTTTTTTTATATTCACATTATGTCTGAGAGGCTAAGAGAAGAGTTTATTTTATTTTTTTATTGTATGTTTATATGTTGACAAAATATTGTAGTTATCTGATTTCTTAATCAGAAAATTTAAGTACTGTGAAGTGATGTTGTCATTAGCTTAAACCTGGGGTTTATGTTTAAGCTTGAAATTGCTTGAATAACAGAGCCTCATTTACTTGCATTTTAACTTTGAGGACCCAATACAGCAATAAATTTGCACTTTTGACAATATATCTGATGTCTCCAGTCATTTTAAGTGCATTGGGAAAAAAAATCGAAAATCGAAACGAAAACTTGAATTTTTTTTCTTTTAAAAATCGGAGAGATTTTTTTTTTAGGCAAAATCTCGCCCTAGCTCCTAAACCTTACAACAACATTTAGCACTTTACAACACATTCAAACACCTTAACAACACATTAAAGCACTTTACAACACATTTAGCACTTTACAACACCATTAAGGCACTTTAAAACCATTCAGCTCTTTAACAACACATTTAGCACTTTACAACACATTCAGCACTTTACAACACATTCAGCAATTTACAAACACATTTAGCATCTATACAACAATTCAACACCTTTACAACAAATTCAACACCTTACAACACCTTCTTACTTCCTCTTCTTCCCCTTTTCTTCTTCTTCCTCTTCTTCCTCTTCTTCCCCTTCTTCCCCTTCTTCCCCTTCTTCCTCTTTTACTCTTCTTCCTCTTCTTCCCTTCTTTCTCTTCTCTCTTTTCCTCCTCCTCCGTTCTTTTCTTTCTATTCTTTTCTCTTCTTTCTCTTCTTTCTCATCTTCTTTCTTCCTCTTCTTCCTTTCTTCCTTCATCCTTCTTCTTCCTCTTCTTCCCCTTTTTCCTCTGCTTCTTCCCTTCTTCCTTTCTTCTTCTTCCTCCTCCTCTTCCTTCTTCTTTCTCTTCTGTCCCTTTTCTTTCTTCTTCCTTCTTCTTCCACTTCCTCTCCTTCTTCATCCCTAACCCTTCCAAACATCTATGCTGCCATCACAATGGCTCTTCAGCCTATTGTACCATTTCTAGTTGAGTGGCTGCATAGATACATGCAGCCACTATATGCTCTCCTACTGTTTATTGAGTGGATGGCATAGACTAAGCAGCCACTTTATGCTCTCCTACTGTTTATTCTTCTTCCACTCCGCAAGATTTTGGCAAACTTTTCAACTCTTCAACGCTTTCCAAATTCAACAAATGTTACATCGTTTACGAACGGCTTCACCGTCTCATTATTGCTATTACTTTTCACACTTCCACCTTTAGCACTTTTTCAAGATATGAACAAAAGTTCAAGCACTTTTTCCCATTAGGACTTACATTGGGACAGTACAACAGATTTACTCCCCATAAACACTTTACCACACTAAGCAATTCATTACCACAGATACAATACATTACAGCATCTTTACAACACTTACAGCACCTTACAACACATTTAGCACTTTACAACACATTTCAACACCTTACAACACTTACAGCACCTTACAAACACATTTAGCACTTTACAACAAATTCAACACATTTAGGCATTTTACAACACATTCAACACCTTTAAACAATTCAATACCTTACAACACATTTAGCATTTCCAACACCTTTAGCACTTTACAACAAATTCACACCATAAAACAAATTTAGCACTTTACAACAAATTCACCACCTTTCAACACATATAGCCACTTTACACGTATTTAGCACTTTACAACACTTTAGTCCCTTACAACACATTCTTCTTACATACTCCTCTTCTTTCCCTTATTCCTTCTTACTTCTTCTTCCTCATCTTCCTGTTCTTCCCCTTCATTCCTCTTCTTCCTTCTTCCTTCTTTTCCTCTTCTTCCCCTTCTTCATAATTTCCTGTACTTCCCCTTCTTCCTCTTCTTCCCCTTTCTTCTCTTTTCCTCTTCTTCCCTTCTTCCTCTTCTTCCTGATCTTCCTCTTCTTTCCCTTTTTTCCTCTTCTTCCCCTTCTTCCTCTCTTCCCCTTCTTCCTCTACTTCTCCTTCTTCCCCTTTTTCCTCTTCTTGCTCTTCTTCCCTCTTCATCCCCTTTTTTCTCTTCTTCACCTTTTCCTCTTCTCCTCTTCTTCCTCTTCTACCCCTATTCTCTTCTTTCCCCTTCTTCCTCTTCTTCTCCTTCTTCCCCTTCTTCTTCTTCCTCTCCTCTTCCTTCTTCGTCTTTCCTCTTTCTTCCCTTTTCTTTCTTCTTCCTTCTTTTCCTTCTTCATCCTAACCCTTCCAACATCTATGCAGCCACTCACAATGGCTTCAGCCCATTGTACCATTTCTAGTTCTTTTCCACTTCCGCCA